ATTCTTGTCTTTCTGTCCCCGTCACTTAGCATAACATCCTCCAGATTCATCCACGTTGTTTCAAAGATAGGATTCTGTTATTTTAAAGGCTGACTTGTATTCCACCGAGTATATACACATTTCCTTTACCCATTTACCAACTGATGGGCACTTCTATTGATTTCCTATCTTGGCTCTTGGGAGTAATGTTGCAATGAACATGGAGGCTGTAGATAATTTTTTTTTTATCAAACTCTTTTCATTTCCTTTGGGTATATACCCCCGAGTGGAATTACTGGATCACATGGTAATTCTATTTTTTTTTTTTTTTTTGAGAACCTCCACATCATTTTCTGAAGTGGCTGTACTATTTACATTCCCACCAACAGGGTACAAGGGTTATCTTTTCCCCACAGCCTCACCAATCTTTTGACTGTAGCAGTTCTAACAGTTATCAGGTGATCTCTTGCTGTGGTTTTAATTTGCATTAAAGTAATATTCCCTGAAGATTATTGATGTCCAGTACATTTTCATGTGTCTGCCAGCTTTTTGTAAGTGACCTTTTGAGAAACGTCTCTTGGGGTCCTTTGCCCACTCTCAGCAGAGTTGTCTTCTTGCTATTGAGTAGTCATGAGTTCTTCATACATTTTGGACATGAGTTTCTTGCCTGACGTATGACTTGTAAATATGTACTCCTAACTTGTGGATCTCTTTCTTTCTGCTGTCTTGTTTGCCTTGCAGAAGCTTTTTAATTTCATGCAATCCATTTGTTTCTCCTTGCTTTTATTGCTCTATATCTTCTTTTGTTTATTACTGAGCTGTGGAAGCTCTTTATATATTTTTGACACAAGTCCTCGATCACATACATGTTCTGAAAATATTTCCTCCAAGCTGTAACTTGTCTTTTTATTTTCTTAGAAGTGTCTTTTTCCCAAGTGGTGTTAATTTTGATGAAGCCCAACTTATCCATTTTTTTCTTTTATGGCATGCAATTTGTCTATTTAAGAATCACTGCCTGGGGCTGGGAATTTAGCTCAGTGGTTCTGGCATCTGCATCACAAATGCAAGGTCCTGAGTTCGATCCCCGTACTAAAAAAGAAAAGAATCAACTAACTCCAGTAAACTAAGATTTTTCTCCTGTGTTTTCTTCAAGAAGTTTTATAATTTTATCTCTGGCATATGGAACTAGGATCCATGTTGAGTTAAATTTTTGTACAGAGTATAAGGTAAGGGTGATAGTTTTTTTAAAAAACCATATGGCCATTAAATGTCGCAGCACTGTTCAGTAAAAGGAATGTCTTGTCTACACTGAACTCACTCAGCTCCTTGCGGGAAATTAGCTGACCACACCTGGGTAGTCTATTCTGGACTCTTCATTCCGTTTCACTGACCAATACCACAGTGTCTTACTTGTATATAGCTTTATAATAAGTCTTAAAATATGGTAGTGTAAGTCCTGCAATTCTGTTCTTTTTCAAAATTGCTTTGGCTTTGGTTTTTTTTTGAGAGAGGTCCTTGTTGCTAATTGCTAAGTTGCCCAGGCTGCACTTGAACTTCTGATTATCCTGCCTCAGCCTCTCAGAGTGCAGGGATTACAGGTGGGCACACCACACCAGGCTGTGCTTTGGCTTTTTCAGGGCTGTTGTGTTTCTGTTTCAATTTAGAACTTGCTTTTCATTTTTAGTAACAACAACCAACTGATTGGGCTTGCTTGGAATTTGCAGAACAGTTAGGAGGAACTTACACCTTAACAACAGCGAGCCTTGGGACCCATAAGCATGGTCCATCTTTCCATCCATGAAATTGCTCTTTTAGTCTTCAGTTTCTCTCCACAGCCTCTTGTAGGTTCCATGGGACATATCTGGCATACACTTTGTTAAACCGTTTAAGTATTTCATTTTTCTTCTGCAAGAATATAAATGTGGCCCCTTTTTACAGCTTTTTGGTAATATGGTTGGCATAAAATAAATGGAACCTATTTGAAGTGCATAATTTGATATGTTTAACATATATCAGTAAACACACCACCCAATTAAGAGAATGAACCTATCTGTTTCCTCTAGCTTCATAACTCAGCATAATTACGTTGTAAAACACTCGTGTGTTGCTACATGGATCAATAGCTCATTCCTGCTTCCCACTCAGTCGTATTCCCCTGCAGGGCTGTGCCTCTGTATGTTTAGCCACTAAACTCTTGACAGGCCTGCTGGTAATGGAGATGGTTCAGTTATCAAATATTACTGAGTACCTGCTGAATGCAAGTGCCTGGATTAGGCATAAAGGACACAGGCAGTAAAGGAGCCAGCCATGGGGACTGCCCTTTGGTGCTGACGTCCTGAAAGAAAGTGAACACGAAACAACATAGTCACAAGTAATTACTTGCTCACAATGAGGTAGAGTGCACTGAACCAATCCTAGACTGGAGGCTCTGAGAGCTTCTTTAGATAGCAGAGCTGAGTGAGTGTGGAAGGACTCCAGAATTAAGATAATAGATATAATCCCAAGGGACTCTGACTATTGTCACAAAGGAGTGGTTCTGGGCTCCAGTATAACCCCCTAGGATGCAGATTTTTAATAAATGATTTATTTACTCATTTACTCAAGCCTGCTCCCAATTCTTCCAGAAAATTAATCCTAGGCTTCGGCATGAAAATGAGATATAGGTACAGCATCACCTTCTGCCTTCTGAGTCAACACTAAAGTGGGAGCCCTCTCCAGGAGAGAAACGTCCCTCTGCATAATGAAATGAGAATGTCTCTCATGAATCACAGTAGAATCCTGAATAGAATAAAGAAAAGAGTTGTAGTCCCCAAAAGAACAGTAGCAGCAGCTACATTGGCCAACTGCACAACCGCAGGGGTGTACCGCCATGTGTTTAGCCACTGAACTGTTGACAGATACTGGTTTTTTCCCCCTCCAGCTTTTGGTTATTATAGATAAAACTCTTCCTGTCCAAATTCTCAATAGGCACTTCTCATGGGTAGGGACTCTGTACTCTTACCCAATGCACATGGTAGCTTCAGATGTGGATACTGTCATTGCCAGGAATAAACTAAGACCCAGAGAGAATAAGTAACTTGCCCATGGTTATGAACTGGTTGGCAACAGAGAAGAAATTTAGGCATGGAGCCTTCCTCATTTATCCATAATACTAGTTAGTATGCAAGAAGTAATATTACAAGGACCCTAAAAAACAAGAAGGGGCAGGGGTTCCTGAAAATCCACTAGCATCAAAATAATTTGGTGATGGACAATATGCTGCTAGCTCAAAATGCCACCATTGAGGACCACTGGCTCTGACAGGTACCATTCAGGATGAAATCCTCAGGAGTCAAACTTGAGTTTTAAGTAGCAACGTTTCTTTCACTTTTTGGCTGTGGCTTCAGGCGGGTTATCTAGACTTGTTTAGTCTGAGCACAGAAAAACAACACGCGTGTCATAGCTCCTTGTCATGCAAAGGCCAGAGGCACTGTGTGTAAGCACTAGGGACTCGGCAGGACTGGAGCGGCACACATGGCAGGCAGTTGCGATGAGCCAGCCTCCTGACCTCAGTCCTCTGACCCAGTGACTCTTAGGTGCTGGTGTGGAATGGAACCTGAGCCGTCAGAGGACAGTGGTGACCTGTCCACCTTTCTTTTATAGACTTCCTGGGACCTGACCAGAAATCCTGAAGAGGTGCTGCTCTGTCTGCATGGCCACACCTTTCTGAACATCTTTTCCATCTCACTTTTGCCACAAAAATAAACACGAGTAGAGTCTGAAGCCATTGTACGCAACAGAGAGAGAAGACGCTGGCAGGAAAATCCAGTCTTTTCTCATGAGTTGGTGAGAGAAACAAGAGGGCAGTTTGCTTTTTTTTTGTTTTAAAGGGAGTACTGATGTACCAAATGTCACCCAACAGCCTACAGGAGATGGTGTAAAAGTCATCTCTATGAATGAAAATAAATCGCAAAAGATGAATGCATGTTTTATTAGCTATGCTCATGCCTTTCATTGGCCAGTGTAGTACTGACCAGGGTATCACACATTAATCTCTTTCAGAACAATTTCTTCTACACTCAGCTGGAGCTATATTTAAAAACAGAATAAAAGAAGGAAATCTTAAATGTTTAATTTTTGGTAGTGGTGGTTTCCTGTTTCTGCCCCTTAAAATCCACCTTTGATTTCAGTTTCAAAATAAATTTCTACAATAAATACACGTACCAAGTACAGCTGTACTTAATAACATTTTATGATTTCTTAAGAACTCCTAATTCAACAGATCCTGAGTCAAGGAGAGAAAATGACTGCTCCCTCCTAAAGGCTGGCTGACCGCGGGGGATGAATCTCACCACTCTCCCATGCCAGCCGCAGGGAAGTGATTTACGCACCCCCTGTGCACGGGGCTGATTCTACCCTCGCCCCCTGCGGCGAGGGCCTCTGCTGCCGCCATCCTGCCTCTCGTGCAATATCCTCCCTGACAGGCTGCGTCAACTCCCACTGCCTCTCCCCTGGCCTGGGCTCGGGCACTTTCCCCTGGGGAGACCTTTCTGGTCTCCATACTTAACCCCTGAACCCGGCCTAATCCATCAGCTGCACCAAAGGAGCGATGCTAGCAAACCCTTCTCCCTGAAGACAGGCGGCCGGCCTTGCCGCTTAGACCCGGAGAGCCGGCCGTCAGCAGACTCTGCACTCTGTCCCTCAGTGTGGCTGGCATCTGGATTGCTGTTGTCGCTTTTACTGTTGAGGAGCCCAGCTGCCTGAGCTCAAGGACACAACCAGTTAAATGGCACAGAAGTGCTTTTGAAACTGTCCCCTGGGACTCCCTCTGGGACCTCCTCACACTTGCTGTTTGGGGACAGGGTTTCCCCAGGGTTATTAAAGAACAGCTTCCTAATCCATGGTCTCAGGCAGAGCTTTGAACTGCTGGGAGAGTTTTGGAATGATGACTCCAGAGAATGAAATACCACGCTCTCGTTTTGGGAAAGACCGGCAATCACAGTGGTAGATAGTAAGCCCTTAGACTGTTTAAACCTCCTCACCTCGTAGCCAAACTGCAGCTCGTCAGAGGTCAGCATGATGATGTCATCGTCGATGGCCAGCACGGCCTCAGTCTCGATTTCATCGTAAGGGAAGAAGCGGTTGCTCAGCTTGTTTTCAGCAGTCCTCACGACTTTTAATGGAACCCGGATTTTGGGCCAAAGAGAATCTGGAAGAAAATCAGAGCAGGGTATTGACTACTTGCTTAAAGTCTGTGAAGAGATTAAGCGGCGAAAGCACCTACTGCCAGTGAAGAGGCAGAACCAGCTGCTATCCGCGGTCTTCGGCAAACTTGGAGATACCACTGAGCAAGGGCAGATTCCTACAGATGCAGTTTTATCATAATAAATATATGCGTACATATTTCTACCCTCTAAATCCTTCTAACACACTAATTCCTCAATATTGTCTTAATCAGAATAAACTAATTAGCTTCAAATTGCAACTGAGGGGCAGAGAAGCAAAATGACTTGTATTAAGTTTAGATCTACAATGCCCCCAAATCTCATGTGTGTGCATGGTGACTGGATCAGGGGGCGCTGTACTCAACCCTGAACCCAGTTCAGGGCTGACTGTGCTGTTAGGAGGCAGAGCGTGGCTGCAGGTGGGTCCCTGGGGGTGTGACCTGCAAGGCTGTATTCTTGTTGCAGGCTCCTCCCCTCTCTCTCTGCTTCCTGGCTGCCATGGGGTGAGCAGCTTGCTTCTGCCAGACCCTTCTATCATGTTCTTTCTGCTTTGGAGCCAGCCAACCATGGACTGAACCTCCTGGAAACTGAGCTAAACCTATCTCTGCTCCTTCAAGCTGTGCGTATCAGTTGGTATTTTGTCCCTGCAATGGGAAAGTGACAGTTTGACTGAGCTCATGATGACAGTAAGAGCGAGTGTGGATAGCTGCAGCCTCAGTCTCTGCCACCTTTGCCATGTCCTCCACAATGCACTTCCACGTGGTGACCCGGCTGCAGTTCTTCCACGTTCAGAACTGCAGAGTCCACACTGGGATGCCGGGCTCACGGGCCTCCAGCCCTGGCACAGCCAGCCAGGCTGCTGACATTCCCCTCATAGTGGCAGATTTCCCTGACAAGTGTTACCTTCCTATCTGAGCACTCCATGCCCTCCTCCTGACTCACTAGGTTTGGATTCTCATCATGCCCAATTTACAGAGTAAATAACAAATTTCTAGGTCCAATTCTGTGGAATTTTCTAGGATACTGAAGAAACACCAACCCACTACTTGCCTTACATTTTTTTTTTCTCATTCTACTTTGAAATAACTGGTGCAATTCAACCACAGGTTCGTTATTTAAAATGTTGCATTTAGGACAGCCCCAAGTTAATACTTCCTTTGTATAGTCCTGATGTTGCAGACCTCAGGGTTCTTGTTCTTCATGTAACATTTGTCAAGCGAGACCAGGAAAGCCAGGTATCTTACTGCTTTCAAAATGTCCATCATGCCATTGTGGGAAGATCTAATTTTTGTGGGTTTTGAGGCCCCAAAATGCCTGTGGTGACCATACAGAAGGAGAAGCAAGACAGAGGGAAAGTCAAAGGGGACAAGGCAGTCTTACTGATGCGGGTAGAATATCTGATGTGTGCATATTTATGAATGACCCCATAATGCATCGCTTCTCAGGAAGACTTACAATTTTACATCTGCCTGTGGCAGAGAGCCTGAAACAATAATGGTCAACTCCAAGAGAAGTACATCTGGGAGAGGGGTGAGCCCTAAACTAAAAATCATCCTTCAGGCCACTGCCTTTTAACTGGTAACAAGAGTTAATTCTAGTTTCATTCACTCATCCATCATCTGTAGGTTCCTCTGGGATGCATGCAGGGGATGCGCAGCCAGGAGACTGGAGAGCTGAGTTCTGCATTATCTGTTAGATCTAAGCACGTCTGATTCTCAGGGGAAGGAGAGGCAGAGGAGGGCAGGTGTGCTGCTCAACACAGGTCCTTTTCAGACGCAGTGTCATTCAATCCTCTCCACAACCCTACGGGACAGAATTTATTATAAAGCAGTATTTACATAGCTCAGAGAGGTTATGTAACCGCTTCAGTTAGACACAGCTCCTAGATGGCAAAGCTAGTACTGGAACCTAAGTCTGCTGGGGAATCAAAGGGCAAATATGACCTGTGCCACCTACTGTAGGCTAAGAATCCTAATTCGATTTCTCTGGCACAAAACTATGAACGTTCAATAATTTTCTTCTATAATCATATGAATTCTTCCTTGCTTCATAAAATCACTGCCTATGGTTCCCAGATCTTTATAAAGCACGATTAAGTTTAATAACTAAAATGAAGGAGGTTATAGCCTTATTAGACCACAGGTTCTCAAACTTTTTGGTCTCAGAATCCTTCACACTCTTAAAAACCAAGAGTCCTAGGGTAGTTTAGTGTACACCCCAGGGGTGGCTCCAGGTGGGCTGCACTGAGGCTGTAGCTGATTTCCCAGCAAGGCCACTAACAGTGCTTAAACCTGAGGAAATTCTTCAACACAAGCACACATTCCTTAGCCAGGAGACCGACAGGTTCATCTCACACCACGCACATGCCAGGAAACTCCGCTGTACCCTCAGCGCCCGTGTGTCACTTTGAGAACTGCTGTGCAGGACTCTGCGTTCAGATCTGGGCACCACAATCTAAGAGAAGAACCACCAAGGTCAATCAATAGTTCGAAAGGAGCTGCGGGGACAGTGCAGGCCCAGAATCTGGGATTCCTATGGAGCCTTAAGGCAACCAAGGGTGCCGATCACCCATGTAGTGCCTTGCCGTGTCTTGTGCCGTCTGCTGCCCCGAGTGGGCCTGGGGCCGGCCCTGTAATACTTCCCCCTGCAGCTGGCACATGGCAGGGAGCCCTGGCAGCAGAGGGCACTGCAGGGCCACTGTGAGACACAGGGGGCTTTTCTTGCTGGTTCTGGTGGGCCCTGTGCACCTCCTGCACCTGCAGCAACAGGCCAGCAAGCAGTGGCACAAGCCCCTGGGCAAGTGTAAGCAGCACCCTTGGGTGAGCTCCACCGAAGCCCTGGCTGCTTTCCCAGTGAGGCCACTGACACCAGACACCCGGTGAACTTCCTGTTCAACCCCGTAGGTGCCCCCGGGGTGGCTGGTTCCCTGAGGGTGCGGGCCTGGGGCACCACACATGCTTCTCCACCCGGGGATCCATGGCCCTGTTCTCTCTAACAGAGGCTGGAACTCAGGCCAGTTGGGGTGGTGGCTGGGGTTGGGGGGGCGTTGCTCAGTTTACTCCAGCAATCTTCAGAGCCCTCCTTCCCTGTTAGCAGACAAATCCTGTTATAGGTTAATGATTTTTCTATATTAAATTTTTCCTGTTGCAATTGCTGCGTGGTTTCAGTCTTCTCACCAAATCCTGACTACTACACCAGGGATATCAGAGAGGTTATTGGGTGAAAAAGGAATTCTCTATGGCCTCAAGAGTTAGAACCATGACTGATGTCTGGTGAAAGTTCCAGAGAAACTGCGTTAGATTCAGAATAGGTAAGAATTTCCTGATGGCATAATGTGTCCGAAGACAGGATAAAATGCCTTTAGTGGCACAATGTGCCCTTTTACTTGAACCACACTAACTTTGCTCAGATTTCTGCTTGACGTCAGCTGAGGGGCTAGGCAGGATGCCTCCGTGGGCCCAGGAAACAGTGACAGAGCACGGGAAGGACAGTGTGGGGCAGCGCGGGGTCTAAGGCTCACTGGCTATGCGACCTTGAACACGTCGGTCACTTTCAACCACGGAGAAGGATCGGCGACCCCATCTTCACAGCGCTTGGCACCTGGTAGGCAAACACTGAATGTCAGCTGTGCCTTTCCGTGAAAGCTGGTGCTATTTACAATGGCAGAGGATTTTTAAAAACCTTAAGGAGCGGTGGCAGAGGGGCGTGTCCCCACAATCCAGTGACACGCCCCCTCCAAGCCCACTTTTAGATCAGCGAAACTCTGCCTTGGAGCTGAGACTGTCTCACTTAGTAACAGAAACTACAGAACATGGAACTTTTGCTGCATTAATTTCACAAGGCAACAAATGGTTTCTTGTTCATGCTCTGTCCAGAAAGTGGGCTGGCTGCTTTGGCTAAGCAGAAAGGCACACCTACAGCCCCAGGAACCCTGACTTCTGCTCTGGAGTGTGGACAGAATGTTCATGGCTCAGGCCCTTCCACACTCGTCACCTATAGGAAGCCAGCATTCCCAGAACAGTGTCCATCAAGAGCCTGAGTGCCCCTGTGGAGTCTCTGGTGGGGAGTTTTAGAGAGTGATGAAGGCCAAGGAGGAGGATGTAGGGTCCGGAGGGAAATGGAGGATGAGCCATGTTTCAGAAATACGGTGGCTTTCCTTGGTCTAAGTCAGGTCTGGGTCGCCAAAGTCAGTCTGACAAAAGCCGCAGGGTCTGGTGCTGCACAATGCCAAATCAGGAGACAAAGTGGGCTGATTTCCCCAAACTAAATGGGCTGTGGCTGAAATAAAGGCAGTGGGCTCCGTGCGAAGGGCATGAGCTTTAGGTCGGGGGAGACCGGTGTCTGTTTCTGTCCTCTGCCATCTGCAGCTTTGTGATTCAGGCAAATTACTAATCTGAGTTTCATTTTTCTAACGCAAGGATAATAACAGCTTCCTCGCAGGCTTGTTATAAGGACCAGAGAAAATGTGTGCAAAGTACTGAGCACAGGTCCCATTCCTAGGATAGAGAAGGCAGAAATGAAATTCTAACAATCCATGTTGTTATCTTCACAGACGGATTCTTGGGAAGCCCTCTGAACTCCCTTCCCTGCTGATAGCCTGCAGCAGTCTAGACAGAAGGTTATGGGGAAGCAGAAGAAGAGTGTCAAAGCCAGAAATCTCCAGGTGCTATTCTGCTGCAAAGCCAGACAGGGGTCTCTGCCTCACCCCTTTTACTTTCTAAACAGAACAGTACAAGACCCTTGTATCGTGGGTCTCATCCTGTGACTGCAGCAGGCAAAACAGAAATACCACCTTCTACTCATAAAAACTAACCTGAAAACTAGGATTTTCCAAAGACATTGCTGAATTTATGAAAAACAAACAGCTGAGCCAGGTGACCTGATCAGTTCACAGTATGAGCTTTAGTCCAGCTCAAAGGAGAAAAAGAACTCCTTGTGTCAAGGGTTTTTCTTCCTCTTTTTTTTAAAGTACATTGATGAACAGTTTTCTCCATGTTGGATCCAAGAGAGATGTGAGCAGAAGGAATTTCTCTGCAACTTGGCAAAGGTACTATGGAGTCCTCCAGCCTGCTAAGCACTGTCACCGTGCAGTTAAGGATTGGGTCGCCTCACACGAACCTGGAGGGCCCACGCTGCTCACTGTGGACATGGGCCTCGTGACCCCAATCCCCCAGAGTCCCGGAATCCAGCTCAGTGGGAAGTGGCCGCTACTTCTGCTCCCTGCTTCCTTCTGTGCTGACCACCCCGCCCTGGCCACTGGGAACTGCGACATTACAGTCAGAAGCTGAGGCCCCTGACGTGATTTGAATTTAAAAATGAAATCAGTTAAAAAATGAAATCAGTTAAAACCAAAGGCTGACTTCTCTGAAATGGACAGCGCAAGAGGCCAGGGCAAGGACAAATAACTTCTACTCCCATCAGGTCTGGAAGCTGAAGAGCTGGGGGGCTTTTTATTGATGGAGCTTAAAACTAATGTGACGAAAGCAGGCTGGAAATTTCTGTTGCCCGGCCTAAGTATTTACTTAAACTTCAAACCCAGCAATTTAGACTTAACTGTAACTAAAAGAATAAAGTATTTGGTTGGGTTGGAAAATGAAAAAAAAAAAAGAAGCGAGAGGGGGTAGATTGCTGCCTGTGCTAATCCTCCAGCAGCAGACATGTTAACCACAATATTTATTTTAGTAAATGTAGAGAAAGTGAAAAACATCATTTTTGCCTCTAACATTTCAAAGCTGTAGACTGGCACTGTGTTTTAAATATGTATGTTACTAATGCTGCCCATGAAAAATCAGATGCGTTGGGCGGTGAAGGAGCAGAGCTGACAGCCCCGTTTACCAAGGAAACAAACAGCCCGCAGAGGATTAAACATGGCTCATGTTCTGTTCAAGCAGCCACATCACCAGAGCCAGGGCCCTGACCTGAAAACCACTGTCAGAAAGAAGCCAGTCCGTCACGATACGCGTCAAAATCAGGGCCTCCTCAGCTAAGGGCTCTCCTTCCTCCCGAGAGCCGAAGTCTTTGAAAAATAAACTCTTGGTCACACAAAAGTAACCACTGCATTTGAGCAGGGTCAACCAAAAATGAAACTGGACACCTGGCTCCCAAACCTGGGCTTGTGCTACTGCCTGTAGGTACATCAGTGCGACTCGGACCAGAAGAGAAAGATCTCTCCTTTCTCACCTCTGCCCTCCAAAGTGAGTCAAGCTCACAAGAAATAGTTTACCTTATGCCTCAAGTGCCTAACCAAGGTTTCAAGGGGAAAACTCCTTTGTCCTTTTTTAGTTTTTTGCTTTTTTTTTTGAGACAGGGTCTTGCTATGTAGTTCAGACTGGTCCTGAACTCACCATGTAGCTCAGGCCCGCCTCAAACTCGGGCGATCCTCCTGCCCCAGCCTCCCCAGTGCTGGGATTGCAAGTGTGTGCTACCACGCCTGGCTTTTCAATTCTATTTTTCATTTCTTTTTTCTTTTTTGCAGTATTGGGGATCGAACTCAGGACCTCGCACTTGTGAGGCAGACACGGTGCTACTGAGCTAAATCCGCGGCCCCGTTCTATTTTTGATTAACAAATGGTACTTGCATGTATGACGAGTACAGAGCCATTGTTCAGTATGTGTGCACTCTGCAGAGTGGCCCAGTCAGAGCCATCAGTGTCCCCACCACTTCCATTGCAGAATCTGCCCTCTGCCTTTCCACTGCCCACAGAGGGACTCACGGCTGTCCCCGAGCTGGCTGTTCCTGTAGGAATGCAAGCGACTGCGGCGTGATACAGGCCGTTCCAGACCCGCGAGGCCTTCCTTCTTAAAATGCAGGCCAAGTGAAGGGGCGAATTAGCCGGCCAAGGCCATGGAGTCCACCTCAGGGCAAGATCACTGTGGAGGGGGCGAGTGGCTGGCACTGCCCCTGTCAGCTTCCTTCTCTGTCTGCCTCTTTGAATTCCCTCTACTGCTCCCTTCCCTGTCATTCTCTCCTTCCTGACTGTTGTGATACCAATACCTTCCCTTTTCTCTGCCCCTTTCCCTCTTCTTTACTAAAAACGGAACAAGCAGAATAAAAATCCAGAAAACCGGCCCTGATACAGTTTGAGGGAAGGAAAAACGTCACACAGAAAGCTGGCTCGTAAGAAAAAACAAAAAGTTGTGCTTCGGGGCATAATATAGGACTTGTACTTAAAATACACGTCTTATTCACACAAAGTATAGCTTCCTAAACCTAGGACGAAAGTATAGGAGTTTTTTCAGAGCACAAAGATCCCATGAAGATGTTTTTTCAGTGTCTCAGAAGGCACTGAAGAATTTTCCTGAGCAAATTCTGATTTGCCTATGAGAGGCAGAAATATGGACCACTCCCAGAGAGATCCACCACTGGGAGTCTGCGGGCTGACTGCCCTGGCTTCACATAACCAATTAAAAGCACCAGCCATAAAAAGCACAGATACTACTGTCAGGCCATAAACTAGACCTTATCGGTGACGGTGGTGCACATTACAAACTTCAAACTCATTCCTCGCTCTAATCCATCAGAAACTTCCTGGCTTTAATAGGCTATAAATGGCAGGAGCTTTGAAGTCCCTGGGATTAGGACCAGTAATAGACAGACCGAATGAGAAACTAAATGCAGGTGGAACGTACTCTATGCATCCCAAATTAAAAACAAATCCAATTAATCAAATAGTCCTCAACCCTAGCCACCAGCCAGCCGCTTGCAGGGGCGGCCATGGCATGGGACAGCGTGACTGGGGGGACCAATGGCAGCCTCAGAGGAGCTCGCCAGGGGTGCTCTGCTGGCTCCTTCCTTTTAGAGTTTTTTTTTTTTTTCTTAAGGAGAACACAGTATCAGAGATAAGGAAGGAGAAAACTAATGCCTTTTAAACTGAGTTTTCATGTAAACAAATCGGCTGGATGGCTGAGGGAAGCAGAGCCCCACTTTCCCAAGGCTGGAGCCTTTGATCCTCCTGACTCCTAAGCCTTCAGACACTTGTGGCTGCAGAGGATGCCAGGGCTTGCAGCTAAGTGGGCCACCCTCAGACACAGATTCGATGACAGAGAGCCGGCCAGGCTCCTCCGGACCACGCCTGCTGCTGACAAAGCAGGAGAATTCATCTCCAATAGAGAGGCCAGTCGTAAATGTGGCCATGCAAAGTCAGTGGCGCTGAGAACCACATCCCAGCCCAAGCCAGGCACCCGGGAGGGGAAGCAGCCTTTCCCACACTCCTTACCTTCTGGGGGGTTTTTATTCTGATTGTTCCAGACGACCAGCAGCTTGGACAGACTGGGCACCTTGGACACCTCGGTGATGACCCGGAAGAGGCTCTCCACTCTGTCGTAGGTGAGGACAATGGCGGTGAAGCCTTGTGACTGTGGTGGGATCAGCGGGAGGAAGAGTGGGTTGCTCACACTGCTCCACTTCTGCGAGGACAGAGGAGTGCGGGTGAGCGTGGGGCAGGGCAGAACCCAACAGCATCAGCACACCCGGCAGGGCAGTGGCCAGTCTGAGAGCTGAGCAAGTCCAAGTCTCCCTGTCCTCAAGGTCGGTACAGACTGCCTAGGGAGCTCTGGCTCTCTACCACCAAAAACAGCAGAGAACTGTGCAGCTGAGAAGACACTTCAGCTTAAACTTGAGACCGAAGGCAGGCACAGACCTCCATTCCCTCGCTCACACCACTACACGGGCGGCTGATGAGAGAAGAGGCAACAGCCGGTGACAGAGAGGAAGGGCTTCAGAAGGCCACGGAGTGGGCGTGGGCGGACAAGGCCTGCGGGGGATGGCCGGCGGGCACCCCACGGAAGATCGGGAGCAAACTCACCAGGCCTGGCCAGGTAAGAGGTGGGGTGGCACTGGGAGCACAGGGTGCTTAGGAATCAGGAGCAGTTAGATACGGAAAATGGCTCTTCCTACCGAGATGGAGAGGGGAAGCTCATTCCCTGAGGAAACTGAAGCTCCAGATACTGGCACAGCCAAGGGCAGACAGGCTAAAAATAGTGTTTTCTTTTTCATTTTATTTGTATTAAGCATTACATACCACACAAACCTGCATGCTACATATCCTTCTGGCAACTGAGGTTTTTTTAATCCGTTAGGAAAATGCTTCCTTAATCAGTGCCCTGCAAACCGCTTAACACACAACAAATATCAACTGCAGAGATGAGCCTGCCTCTTTCCATCAAACCCCACTGACATGGAGAACGGGTGACACATTTTCCCCACCTGACAGTGAACTTGTGGATGTACCGAGTGGCCCCTCTGCTGACGGCCAGCCCGGGCCCATGACGGCAAGTCCAGGAGACTCACACCATGTCTCGGCACCATTACCTAGACCAAAATCTGCCCAGTTCAGACATCTCTGTGCGGAATGAGGAGCCTGTTCCCGCCCAGTTCCTAAGCCGCTGGTGGCCATGTGGCAGCCTGGCAGCCCCCGGACACCCTCTGGGCAACAAGCGGCCTCAGACAAAGAACATGTGATTAGCTTTTAGTGTCTCCCTCTTAATCACGAACAGATTCTGGAATCACAGACTTTTCGAGAGCATCTTCAGTAGGAGCAACAGAAACCAAGGAGCAAAGGAAAAAGGAACTCAGCAGAAACAGAGACAATAGAAGCACAGAAGGAAATTCAAACAACAATAAATTACATCCTCAGGGAGATAAGATTTTTCATGCGTGAAACAAGAATAAATTGCTGTTTTTATTTAAAATGATCTGTCAAAGGCCAGAAGGAACTTTTGGACATTAAAAACATGATCATTTAGTTTTTTTAAAAACGGCAAGATTCTAAGATAAAGATGATAAAATATTCCAGACTGGTGAACAAAAAAGAGATTAAAACAAAAACAAAAACAAAAACAGGACAGAAAAGAGGAGAAAATCCAGGCGGTCCAACATCCATTTAATAGGAGGTTCTAGAGAAAGTACGTACAAAATCTGGACAAAATGAATCTGTCAAGGAAGTTATACACATTCTAAGTACAGAAGATGGGAGGGCTGTGAATTTTTAGTTCACAGGGACCGATAATCAGCCAGCATAGTGAACATAGAAAGAAAAGGAAAGACAAGAATAAAACAAACAGCAAAATGAAAGCAACGAAACAGAATCCACTGTCATATCAAAGTCCAGAACCTCTGCACGCAGGGAACGAAGGGAATCCTCACAATGTGCGAATCTACACAGTGAATTTGAGTTCACTGTGCAATTCTCAAAACTTCTCTGTATGTTTGAAATTTGTTCAAAATAAAGCTTGAAGAAGAATGAGAGAAATCCAGTCTCTTTCCTACCATTAAAATGTTACATTTTTAAAAAATGTTACATTTTTTAAGTGTAACAATGTAAGCAAGTATCTTTGTACTGATAACAAGAAAAGATTATATAATGTGCTTACACTTTTTTTTTTTTTTTTTTTGGTACTGGGGATCGAACTCGGGTCCTTGTGCTTGCGCAGCAGGCAGCAAAACCACTGAGCTAAATCCCCGGCCCTGTGCTTACACTTCTAATAACTTTATGGAGATGTAATTTATATATCTCATAATCCATTCACTTAAAGAACATGATGGTTTTGTGATAATGATTACATTAAGTTTTTACAAAAATGTCCGCCTTAACCATTTGTAAGTGTCCAACTGAGCGGCACTCTAGTACTCACTCACACTTGCATTCATAAATGAGCATGTTTAAAGACAGACCCGAACTCCTCCACTCAGAGGAGAATGCGGAGGTCCTACTGGAACTCTGGCTGCCTTCCTCTTCCCTCCAGCCCCTCACACTGATTCCCCAGGTCCCACATCCAACTCATCATATCACTGATGGACACCCATCGCCACGTACGTGACAACAGCTGCCGGCCAGATGTCGCAGCGTGGGACAGGAAACGTCCACGAACACGTGGAGTACACATGGGGCAGGAGCTCAGGGAGCCCAAATGGGATCCTGAAGTCCTAATGTAACCAGGATATTAAAGCCCAAATGGCCCCCCAAATAGGCGTCTCAAGCCGGAGCCCAGCAGGAAAGGTCCCGTCTTCTCAGTGCCCACCTCCGCTTTCGTGACATCACACCCTGACCCTGTAGTCCAGGAAGGCTAGATTGTAGTATTTGTACCCTAGCATCTGATTACATTTCTAGGAATCATTCTGAGTTTTCTCCCTCAAGTCTCAGTCTTCACCTCTTCTTGACTTTTATGGAAAGTGCAGTCACTAAGTAGCCCCTTGCTTCAGTCACAATCTGTGAGGGAGAGGTCATGGTCTATCTGCCATTACCACCTCCAACCCACTCCTTACTCCTCTGGACACTTTAAGGCCCACTTGAAAAATGCCATTTTAAGTGGAAAATAAAAAAGATTTCATAAGTGTGTACAATAATTTAATGTGTGATACTGAAATGGCTAAGATTTACTGAGCATTTACTAAGTGCTAGGCACTGTGCTTTCATTTGTATCTCAATGAAGACTCGCCACAACCTCCAGGGTAGGTATGGTCATTGTTTTCTTTTTACAGATGACGGAACTATAAGATCAGAAACAATGAACAGTATTCAAGGCTCTATAGCTTGTAAAGGATGGAACTGGGAATCAGCCCAGCCGGCACGATTCCAGAATCCAGATGGGCAGCTCCAGCCCCTCCACACTCTCCTATAAACTCAGTGAAGTGCACGGCAAACATCATTTTATAGACTCTAGAAAGTGGAAATGTGGGGAACTCCAGGGCTCACTACTCCTACCTCTTCTCCAAGACAAAAACTTCTAAAATTCTTTATCCTTGTTATCCCACATGAGCCAAAAAGCAAGGGCCCACTCAAACGCTATGATTTCAGCAAGTACGTGGGACAGAAATGCACCAAATATATAATGCTGAGACGAAGGGAGCACATAAATTTAAAAAGGTAAATATACCACTGAAGCAGAAGGAAAAACTATTAAACGCCAACAAAATGAGGTCTGTTCTTGGGCAGAAGGGAGGAGAACACCAACACAGTTGCATGCTGCGAAGACACTGGAAGGTGAGGAAGGTTCCTGGAGACGTGCGCAGCTTGGATTCGGGAAACAAATGCCCTGGAGTTTGAACTGAGGTGCCCTGAAAATTTCAGCACCCTGATCTGAGGGCAAGGTGGAGTCACAGAGAGGGAGCCCACGCTCTGGCAGAAGGACAGATCTGGGTCCATCCCATGTGCCAGCTGGAGGTAGGAGTGCATGGGCAGGGAGGGGGGGACAGGATGGAGGATGGCATGTGAAGGGCTGAGTGTGGCCAGCATCTCCCACCAATGCAGATTCAGAGATGACACAGGAGGTGACAAACAAGCTGTGGTGCAGATACCTATGAGAGTCAGGCTCCGTTCTCTGCAGCAGGACGTACTGCCAGGGCTGATGCAGATGGTTCTGAAAGTGAGGCAGTATGTGCGCAGCCCCTTTGGGAGTCCGGAGTCCGTAATCTGAAGCCAGCCTCCTTCACTTAGCAGCCAGCTGTGTGACCTGGGAGAAGCACTTTGTCTCTCTTGCACCCCAGCTTTGGTAGCTATAAAGTCCCGCTACTTTATTACTACTTTTCTAGGCAGCATTACCGAGCACCAGTGAGGCCATGCATGCGGTGCACCTGGGATGCACAGGCACTGGAGAAATGGCAGCCGGTGGCTGATCTTGTGTGAGGAACCATCTCTCTGTGCTCTCCTCTGTGCCTCAAAAGTTGGGTGGGGGTGACAAAAGCAACCTGAGGTCTCTCTCAGCACAAGAACTCTACAGGAAGAGGTTCTTCCTCTGTCTTCACCTCAGCATGCCTTAAGGCAGTGAATGTGATCCTTTAGAGCTTTCAATGATACAAACAGACTGCTGTGGCACCTGTGCCATAGGTTTGCCACCACTGCTTTCCTGCTCAGGCAAATCCCCTCCATTTAAATTAAATGTGGGCTGGCACAAATGTCTGGATTCTACATCTGCTTCTTCCTCCTTAAATACAGCGCTTTTCCTTCTGTGGCTTCTTTTTTCTTTCCTATTTGTTGTATTTTACCTGTCCCGAAAGCCCCCCGACCACAGGAGCTGTATCACCCAGTACCAAGTATAGTGCCTAGTGCTGCTCAAAAAAACAAAAACCAAACTTGTTAAAAACTGAATAAGTTAAACCCAAATGATCCAGGCCACATTCTGTCTGTCCTTAATACCCAGACACAAATAGCTGATGGACACTCAAATAAGCAATAAGGTCTGAAATGGTTTCCAACATAGCCAATTCATTTTGGAGGTACTTATACTGTGTAGAGCACTCTGAAGATCTATAAGATTTTACGGGGAGTTTAACCAAGGCCTGGAATCTAGGCCTTGCCATTTACTGGTTTTGGACATGGCCTGTTACTTTTCTGAGTATCAGTTTCATCATCTGTAAAATGTAAAATGGGCACTGTGACCACCGCATAAAGATGGTTAAATAAGATTAT